GTCAGCAGCAGGAAGCATGAAGTGCTCTAAAACTTCCTGGTAGTCGGCTGCGTTGACCTTGGACCTCAGAAAACACAGTGGACCAACACCGGCAGATGACATGGCACCCCAAACCATCACTGACTGTGGAAACTTTACACTGGACGTCAAGCAATGTGGATTCTGTGCCTCTCCTCTCTTCCTCCAGACTCTGGGACCTTGATTTGCAAAATTTACTTTCATCAGAGAACATAACTTTGGACCACTCAGCAGCAGTCCAGTCCTTTTTGTCTTTGGCCCAGGCGAGACGCTTCTGACGTTGTGTCTTGTTCAAGAGTGGCTTGACACAAGGAATGCGACAGCTGAAACCCATGTCTTGCATACGTCGTGGCGGTTCTTGAAGCTCTGATTCCAGCTGCAGTCCACTCTTTGTGAATCTCATTTTTGAATGGGGTTTGTTTCACAATCCTCTCCATGGAGCGGTTATCCCTATTGCTGGTACACTTTTTTCTACCACATCTTTGCCTTCCCTTCGCCTCTCTATTAATGTGCTTGGACACAGAGCTCTGTGAACAGCCAGCCTCTTTAGCGATGACCTTTTGTGTCTTGCCCTCCTTGTGCAAGGTGTCAATGGTCGTCTTTTGGACCGCTGTCAAGTCAGCAGTCTTCCCCATGATTGTGTAGAAGTAGACTGAGAGACCATTTAAAGGCCTTTGCAGGTGTTTTGTGTTAATTAGCTGATTAGAGTGTGGCACCAGGTGTCTTCAATATTGAACCTTTTCACAATATTCAAATTTTCCGAGATACTGATTTGGGGGTTTTCATTAGTTGTCAGTTATAATCATCAAAATTAAAAGGAATGAACACTTGAAATATATCAGTATGTGTGGAATGTATGTATACATTATACAAGTTTCACTTTTTGAATGGAATTACTGAAATAAATCAACTTTTTGAGGATATTCTAATTTTATGACCAGCACCTGTATTTGTGACATGGCAGACTAAAGTAAACTATACTGCGACGAGGATGGGATGCGAACCCACGCGTGCAGAACACAATGGATTAGCAGTCCATCGCCTTAACCACTCGGCCACCTCGTCTGCTGCGCGCTTGTTTTTGCAGTGAAAGTCGAATTCAGGCCACTTACAGTTGGTTTTGTGTAGTTTTGGAACGGCGTGGTATGGAGGGGAGGCAGAGGGGACGAGTGAGTTGTCTTCCCCTCACACAGGGGAATTAGCTCAAATGGTAGAGCGCTCGCTTAGCATGCGAGAGGTAGCGGGATCGACGCCCGCATTCTCCAATAGTTCTTGTGTCTCGTCTGGAGTCCAAGACCACAATGAGGCTCTTTGCACCACCTCAACTGAGAACTGCCTGAAGACAACCAGTGGGTGGTTCTTCACAGTTGTGTCTTTTCCTGGAGAATTTCCCGGTCACCTCCTAGGATTGTTTCATATGCCATAGTGAATTCCTTTTCCTTCACTCAAGCTCTGTGGAATACAGAAAACAGGGAAATTATAGAAAGTAGTGTAACCATACTCCTTAGTACACTTGTAATCAATGAAACATTAGATGTTTTATTGAAATGTCATGTGACATAGAATGTAACAAAACAGACTTTTACAGTTAAAGTCAAAGCCAGGTCCCTTTACGGGGTGTCTTAAAGAGGCTTTGAATGTCTGCTGCAATGGCGAGACTTGGAGGGGAGGGCACATTAATTGTCAGAGAAATGAATGAGTTGTGTAAAGACTGTCCACTCTGACAAACTGTTTTGCTTCTGTACCCAGAATAGTTAATAGTCACTGATCTTCATCAGAGAAGAAAGGGTTAAAAGCCTCCTGGAGAATGCGGGCATCGATCCCGCTACCGCTCGCATGCTAAGCAAGCGCTCTACCATTTGAGATACTTCCCCTACAGAGACAAAGAGCAGTTTATGTAAAATGAAATGTATGTGTTGAGGAGTAAACACTTCTGTTGGCTTTAAGGTTGCATCTTCTCTGCAAACAGTTGAATTATTAGGGTCCGAGCACAAACCGTCCGAGGTCCCGATTGAAACTGAAGGGATTGTTTTTATGCAAAGTAACCTCTATTTTGGGGGCCTAAACTGCTCGAAACTCACCAAACTTTACACATAATTCAGAAGCGACCAAAAATTTCATATTTTTTTAGTTTCGCGCATGGACGTGGAAAAATGGCTCGCTAGCGCCTCATACAGAGCAGCTCCCGGACCAAATTCACCTACTTGTATGAAATTTCTTTGGTGCATACATCTCATGTCCAGACATACAAAAAAGCCTCTTGGAGCCATAGCCTAAACCCGACAGGAAGTCTGCCATTTTGGATTTAGTGGTCATTTTTGGCGATTTACACACTTTGTACTTTAACGAGCTGCTCCTAGGCATTTAGTCCAATCTACTTCAAATTTTCGCTGTGCAGTCTAAACCCATTGACGATTAAAAGTTATTTCAAGTTTTTGTACTTTCACTTATTCTGTACACTTCCTACACCACTGATTACATGATGAGATTGTGCACATAAGGAAGCGTTAAAAGTCTCTGTCTCTGCGAAGTTAAGAAGCAGTTCACGGAAAATCTATGGGCTTTAAAGCGGCATCTGAAAAACTGTTTCTTTCATGGCTCATTGTTTCAGTTCCTGAGAGAGAACACAGACTGTAAAGATTGGAAACTGGCTGGAAAGAAGTGTGTGTGTGGTAGAAGAGGAAGAGAGAGAGCAGCAGCTGCAACTTGCAGGACGTTCTGATCATTTAAAAAATGGTGTGTCAGTGTTTTGACATTAAAAGCCTTAGGCGCTGTATAAGTGGTCGTCCAACTCACTTATTAGAATTTCTCGTCACTTCAAAGTTATTTAACACACTGAAAAGTGTTTAAGCATTGTTCTAACTTAAGTTCATAACACAACAAAATGAAAAACTTTATTTATTAAATTATAGAAATGTCTGTGGTGATCTACTATGCACAGGTCAGAGAAATGAATGAGTTGTGTGAAGAAGACCTCGTTGTCGGCAGGATTCGAATCTGCGCGGGGAGACCCCAATGGATTTCTAGTCCATCGCCTTAACCACTCGGCCACGACAACTTACATAGGATTTGAACTTCCATATTTCAGTGACATAAAACAGATCAAAACAGTGTTGGAGTGGTCTCATCAGTTCAAATCAACTATTTTTGTCCTCACAGGCTGCTCACATTTAGAAATGTGTATGAGGCTTGCTTTAATCATATCATCATAATGTCAGGAAGACTAGGAGTAATGTCCATTGAGTTCCTGTTATAGTCGAGCCCCTTGACCCTCTATTTGGACTGTGGAATAATAACAGAGTCGAAATGATCACTTATATCAGGGCCCTGTTTCAGAAAACAGAATTAGTGACGACTTTTTGTTGGCTTTCTCAAGCTTGTTAAATTCGGTCACATGTATTCAGTATTCCACACAGCTGGACCAGAACATGAGTTGTCGTGGCCGAGTCAGGACTTAAGTCGCACAGTGACTTCAAACTTGACTTGAGATTCGTCCTCAAAGTACTTCAGACTTGACTCTGACTCGAGGTTCGGGACTCGTGAACAACGTGGACTGTCGATTAACGTAATCAATTACGTCCCCCTGGCTGCCATCAAGTTAATTATTAACGTTGACTGCAAACAGGTTACAGGTTTATTTTTGATCATGTAATGTTAGTTTTATTTATTCAGAACTTTACACTGGTTTGACAGTCTGAGGTGTGCGTTGACTTACAGTAGTTTATCATTCATTTATCAGTCATTAGTTGCACTGCACATGCCAAGCCGCAGTTCTCAGTGATCAATGGTTAAGGCGATGTGTTGTTAAACTGTTGTGCTCTGCATGCGTGGGTTCAAAGCCCATCATCGTTGGATTTTAAAATGGACAGAGCTCAGCAACTTCAGTATGAGTATACTTACTGAAATGATTTCAGAAGTGTTTGCTCGAGTAGTTCTGTTTGAGCAGAATAAATACGTGTGATGTTTTTCTTCATCTGATTCTCATCCTCCACCATCTCGCTCACCGAGTCACTGGCATAGCACACACACTCAGGGAGAGAATTAGCACTAATATTACACATGGGGCCAGCACGCCCCTCCACCCGCTTGCTCTCCGGTCGTTGGACACACTCACGCGCGTAATGTCCCTGTTCCCGACAACGGAAGCACCGGAACTCAGGGCAGACATTCAAGATATGGCCAGGCCAACACACAGCCTCACACACGAAGGGCCCCTCCATGCTACGCCGTTCCAAAACTAGACAAAACCAACTGTAAGTGGCCTGAATTCGACTTCCACAAGCGCACAGCAGAAGAGGTGGCTGAGTGATTAAGGCGATGCGCTGCCAATCAAGTGTGCTCTGCAAGCGTGGGTTTGAAGCCCATCCTCGTCGTTTGGTCTAATTTTAGCCGGAACAGAGCTCAGCAGCTTTCATATGATGTTGACTAAAATGCATCCTGAGTGATCTAAACAGCAGAGGTTACTAACAGAGAGCGATGTGATGTGTGAGACCTTCACAGCTCTGTTAGCTCCAGATTTAAATTACATCACGTCTCCCTCCTCTCTATGATGACCTGCTTTTTACTTCCTGTGTGGACATTCACAACAGATAGAAACACTTTTCATCTCAGACGTGGTTGGACAAAACTACAGAGACACGAGGTAACACACAGAGGCAGATTAGATACGTGTTGGTTGAACTGTTAGTCTCACTATAATACACTTATGGAGATTTGAATGTGTTGCACATCACATCAACCTCTGCTGGTTTCTTTTTGAAATGTGAATACATCACCCAGGATGCATTTCAGTACATTACTCCATCCTGAGCTCTCACCAGTTGAAGTCAGACTGCCCGACGAGGATGGGATTCGAACCCACACGTGCATCACTGTGAGCTGAGGGCATGGACGTCAGAATAAAGGTGCAGGTCTGAAGGGGGTTTAGAACTGAGAAAGGCCACTATGTACCAACAATGTGTAACATGTCTGTCCCCCTGCAGCTCTCTCAGTCCTGAGGACACGTTGTCCAGAAGTGTGGAGCAGCTCTACAGGGCCATCCAGCAGACCGGGACCAGCAGGGAGCAGCTCCAACAAGACCATAACCACAGCCAAGAACAGATAGCCAGACTGCAGGCCCGGCTAGCCCAGGACCAAGACCACATTAACCTGCTAGAAGCCCAGGTGGCCAAGGATAAGGACCAGATAGCCCAGCTGGAAGCCCAGGTGATCCGCGGTGTGGAGCAGGACCAGGACCAGGACCAGGAGTCTGACTGGGGGCTGAAGGAGGAGCTGGAGAGACAGAGAGTCAGACTGCAGAGGTCTCAGAGCAGAAACAGACACCTTCAGCACAAACTGGTGAGTATCAGCTTAGTCTGCAACAGACCACAAGGACCAGAACTGGATCCTGACAGGATTATTGTCTTCAACTCACAACAGGCAGACTGCTCACAGCATCACAACTGATGTTACTATGACAACCAGGGATTATTTCTGCGCGACACACAGTTGATCAGCAGGGCAATGTTGTATGGCTGAAAACTGAAGGGGGCCCCAGTCAGGGCCCCAAGTCTGTGGACCAGCCTGCCTTTTATAGGATTTCCTGATTATATTTGACTTGAATTTTCTTTTTACCTGTATTTTAATTCTTTGTTTGATGTATTTTATCTTTCTGTCCCTGTGAAGCACTTTGTAACAGGGGAATCAATAAAGAGTGTTGTTATTATTATCCGGTGAGAGTTTATTTATAATAAAACCCTGTTGTTTTGTGCAGGAGGCGGAGCTGCAGCAGAGTCGTGTGCAGCTTCAGGACGTCCAGCAGGAGAGAGATTTGCTGCTGCAGCAGGTCAGAGAACTGTTGTTATTGTCCTGTTAAGCCCGAACTTGCCCGGTTTTGGGCAGGACGATCGATTTTCACGCAAAATGCAAAAGAGAAATCCATGTCTGATCCTAGTATTTTCTCACCCTATCCAAATGCTACACACCTTCGTGAAACTAGGAGGCTCAGCCAGAACTTAAAAGAAAACATTTTTATCCACACGAAACACACATCAAGCATCTAAATGAACTTATATCACAACATAAATCGCTCTGTAATCACTGTACATGGCTGCAGTTATTGCCTTCTAGATATCTCTCCTCTCATCCTACACCACAGTCCGACCTCTCTAAAGAAAGCTCAGCTCCAGCTCTGATCAGCTGTGTAACTCATATCACTGTATATCAGTTTCTTTTCATCAAATTAACAGTTGCAATTCGATTCCAGGTGTATTAGAAGATATTCAGTTGCATTACAATGAGTTGGATGATCCGTTTAATGGTGAAAATGCCAGGTGAGGTTGAAAATATCACATTTTCCTTTATTGCATCTCCATTTACTCTTTAATAGAAAAATAAATAGCTTCATTTGTTTCAGTTGATCCATATTCCTGACCTAAGTATGCATCTAGGCCTGATGGTTGAGGAGATATTCCTGATTCAGTTTGGGTATTGTTTTAGGCATTTTTCATGGAAATAAGTGTTTGTTTCCAAGAGGTTAAATGGTAGAGCTGCATTCTCCAGGCTGTCATATGTCAGTTTCTCTCATCATGTTGTCGTGGACGCTGATGATTGCTCTCTTTATTTTGGTTCTGTACCCAGCTGGACCCGGTTTCAGAAAACAGACTTAACAAGCTCTGAGCTTCTTTATGCTCATGTCCATTTAAGGAAATACTCCCCAAACACAGTGAGACTACTGTTGCTGAAAAGTTCTGAAATGTGCTTTGATATATTAAACGGTGTGTCAGACAGCTGTTTCAGGGCCACAGGAGGGGAGGAGTCAGAGAGAAACTTTGTTGAAGCTTGACAGCGTAAGTTGCCTGAGTTACTGATCTTGGGTTAATCAGGGTCCTGCACCGCAAAGCGAGTTCAACAGACCCAGGATATCTTTCAGTTATCTGGCTTCACTAACCCTAACAATTACGATCGGGATAAGCGGTCACACGACGCTGGTTTTCAACTCGGTAAGTCAACCCAGGGTTTCCCAATCCAGACGTGAGTGCGTTCACATAAAAGAGGCGGTGTTAGCAATAGCTGACCAATCACAGACATGAACAAGTCTACTGTCAGCAGAGCGTCATATTTTACAGACGAAAAGCAAACTGTAACACTACAGAAATACGACAGTAGCACGGCTGCATCTGACACATGCAGGGAGGCAGAAAATCGCAGACAGTCTGAATGTCTAAATGAACCTGATTACCTGTTTACTGATTACTCACCTGATTACCTGCGGCCACATCACAAAGGTGGGGCGGAACATGACTTCAGTCTCTGTGCTTATAAGAAAGCTACTAACCTAAAATAAGTAGCCTACGTTCATATTAAAATGTATTTCAATATCCCTACCAAACTGCTGATAATATTCAGCCTCTGAAACAGTCTCTGGGACCGCCTCCAGATGGTGATGTCATTTTTCAAGAGAGCTGATTGGTCAGTAGGCGGCGTTTTCATAGAGTTGATCTGTTATCTGGAACATAACCTGCTCCGGAGCAGGTTAGCCATTCAGCATAAGTTACTGTGGAGATCTACCCCGGTAAGAAGTCAACCACCTTTGTGGTGCTGAAAACCCAGAGTTAACCCCGAAGTTACCTGGATAAGCTCAAATCCTGCTTCGTGGTACAGGCCCTGGGTCTTTGTCTCTGAAACTGATAACCCAGAGGTTCTCTCATCTCAGGCTTAACAAACTCAGTTTCTGAAACGGGGCCCTGATACACTCTATATTCTCGTACACATTTCTACATGTGAACAGCCTGTGAGGACAGAAATAGTTTGTGTTCCAACATACAGAACTGATAAGTAGTGTTGTAGTACTCGAGACCGGTCTTGGTCTTAAGACCACTTTTTGATGGTCTTGGTCTTGTCTCGGTCTCGACCGCATTTGTACTCGGTCTTGGACATTGAGGACTCGGGATTTTATTTTTATTTTATTTCAAGACCAGTCCAGACCATAACTTTGAGAATATCAATAATTTGCTTTTGCATTGTCTGATTTATTTGTTAACATACTAACTTTGATTGGAAGTAAAAAGTATTGCTATGCATATTCAAATGCAACCAATAACCCTAATTAACGACTGTCACCCCTCCCCACGATGCTGACGCTGATTTCAGCTCTTAGTGTTTGCATGTTGGTGTTTTAATGGGAAAGTGGATTTTCAGATCACTTTGAGAAGTATCTGTGATCTCATTCCACATTTTATTGCGTGCCATGCAATGCAGGGAACTGGTCTTGGTCTTGACTCGGTCTCGGTTTGAGCGGTCTTGACTACAACACTACTGGTGAGACCACTCCAACTCTGTTTTCGATGATTCGTTTTATGTCACTGAAATATGTAAGTTCAATAAAATGTTGTGGTCGAGTTAAGGCGATGGACTACTCCGACTTTTAATTCAACAAGCTTGAGAAAGCCCACAAAAAGTGTTACTCCCCAGTCTCAGTGGAATGGTGAAAGTACAAATACTTGAAACTCCATCAAGTTAAAGTCCTGCATCCAAAGCTTGACTCAAGTACAAGTATTATCATGAACGAGCTTGTCTAAGATTGGACCTTATCTTCTAAAAAAGGAATCTAATCAGTCAAGTTTTGCGGAGAAACGTTTGAGCTCGTCTGCTTTCTGAGACACAAACTTTCACAGTCTGCAGGAGGGAGAGACTGATAGAAGTGCCTTTCAACATGCAGGGGAATTAGCTCAAATGGTAGAGCGCTCGCTTAGCATGCGAGAGGTAGCGGGATCGATGCCCGCATTCTCCAGGAGACTTTTAACCCTTTCTCCTCATGAAGATAAGTGACAATCAGCTCTTCTTGGTATAAAATCAAAATAAAGACGAACTTATTCAGAGTTTGTTCTAAATATTGAGGCAGCCTGACTCTCACATGCTAAACAAGAGCTCTACAGCTGATTCTCTAACTCTGCTTCCAAAGGTCAGCTTGTGTCTCTCCCTCTGCTCAGCTGCACTGTCTCACTTTCTGAATACCAGCTGTACACAGTGCAGAGATTTCACTGGAAACTTTGAGCTGCTGGTGGCGCCGGATGTAAAGTCATTTCAGAATTAACAGTCTGTACCAACGTGGTGGACCGACCTACAGACACGTCACCAGCAGATAAGACACATGTAGCAGACGAGGTGGCCGAGTGGTTAAGGCGATGGATTGCTAATTAAAACTACTGACTCAGAGTTAACTTAGGGTTACCGTACTATGACGGTGAATAAGATGTTAGTTGAGTCTGTGTTAAATTGGAGTTGTTGCGCAATCGCATGCTCTGTATTTTCCCCAGAAGAATTCACGTTGATAGTGTCAGGATAAGAGGGGTTTAAAGACAAGTTAACGGCTAAATCTAATATTGTGGTTGCCGACAAAGCCAGAGAGGCTTGTTGATATCGCACTGAGTAAATGTGTAGTCTAATTATCTCCCCAGTGTTCTTATTGTAGTTCAAATCTCTATTACGTATTTTATGGGCTCTTCTTCCAACTGCACATAAGGTCCATTGTAACAGAAAAAAAGGAGCCAGAGGAGAGGGGGAATAATCTGAGACAGAATTTAATTTCCAAGATTAATCTACAAGTAAAAATCTTGAATATTCTCTGACATTATAGTCACACATTCATGAGAGCAACTTCACTTTGCAAAGCTGCAACATCTCACACACACGTCTGTAGGCCATGTGTTGGAAAGTTATATTAAACTTCACAATTGGATTCAGTAGTGAGGAAATACTCGTGAGTTTAGCCCACAATCACTATATTATCAGGCACCTTAGAGACTTTGCTGTGGATTGGGCGTATTCAGAAAACAGAGTGATTTTAGATTTTCTATAACATTAATTTCAGGGAATTTTCAGATTTTTGTTCTTGTAAATTTCACATTTTAATCTAGGATTTATTTAACTGCTTAACCGTCACCCTGGCTCCCTATTTTTTGGACACTTAAAATAGTCAATCTAAATATGTGAAAACACTCAGCAGAACTCAATTATAGCCTACAGACGGGCTCCATCTAAGAAACTGTCCCGTTAATTAATTAAGATTCCTCTCTAAATCCCCGAGGCTGCAGGACTCGCTGTCTGAACGTGATGCTGTTGTGTTCAGAACTTCAGTGCAGCCGCAGAGGAACAAATCAGGCTGAAATCTAAACATATTTTATGAAGTGGTGTGTATTAATACTTCATCATTAACACTGAGTACAGATGTGGTGTGTAGTCCACCTGCAGGGGAACCTCGAGTTAACCACGAACAAATCCTGCTCGGAGCGGTTTAGAGATGCGGCGTAAATTGCCATGGCAACAGACCTCGGGTAACACCCGTCCACCTTTCGTAGTACGGGTTAATCAGGAAGTTACACCCGACGTCACCAAGTTACTCCTGAAGTTACCTGGATAAGCCAGTTACCCCGCTTCGTAGTACAGGCCACAAAAGCGAAGCGAGCGTTGGGGGCAGTGCGTTTACATTTAAAGTCAATGCAAAGATGCGGAGAGCCACAATTTCCTGTAGGACGGCATCAGTTTGATCCGTTGTTTGCAACTAAATCACAGCAAATGATGTTCTTTGGGTTCATACAGCTGTAGTAATCACGTTATGGCGTTGTGTGTGTGAACACTTGGGAGAAGTCCAACGCGAGGAAAGCGTTGTGAGGATTAAATTAGAGTTTGGTCTGAATGCACAGTAAGCAACCTCAGCTGGTTTCTTTGAATTGTAAATCCATGACCCAAGATGCATTTCAGTATGTTAGCACAATGGATTAGCAGCCGCCTTAACCACTCGGCCACCTCGTCTGATGCAGCGCTTTGTTTCCACCTCCACTCAGC